AGAACAACTGAATTTAATATATATATATATATATATATTTATATGTGTACATATCTGTGCGTGAGAGAGGGCGTGTGACACGTGTGGAGCTCAATTCAAATATGTAGAGATTCCATAAAAATGTGAATTTAAAGATGATATTAAGAAATATATGAACATAATTGTCAGTAAAATAATATGAGACTTCATTCAGTACTTTGTCAAAAAAAATTTAATTAACTTTCTATACCTATTTACATATGCGTATAGTCAAAAATACATAATACCCACAAATGTGTGCATGTACAATTATATGTACGTATGCATTTGTTGAGACCTGTGCGGACATGCGCCACATAATATATAAGTATGTACTTAAATTATTCTGCCTTCACTCTCGAATTTTCTTTTAACCCTTATCACTAATTTGAGAACCAAAGAGTTCAATGAATGCCTACTCTTGTCACTAACTCGAGTAACAGAGAGTTTAAGATCAAAGAACTCCGATATTCCACCAATCTTGTTATTTGTTTTCCTGTTTGAGTTCCTAACAATTCTCACAACACAATAATAACCAAACATAAAAATTATGTTCGAGTACAGAAACTTCAAGCAATCAGTTAATGCATCCTATCATTGTATTTGTCTTGTCTCCTGTTCCTGTTTCTCAGCATATATCCAATACAACAGTTTTCTCTTTTTCGCTAGCTCAAGGCTTTCTGCAAAAGATCAAAATTCTGGGGTGAATTTCCCCACTTAGCCATCACTTCTCGAGCCAAAAGAAATAATCATTATATAAAAATGTACAAAACTGATCCATAAACTACTAGTAAGGTCAATTCTCTACTGTAAAAACCTGTACAGAACAAGTAGATTGGACAAGAGACTGAGTGATTCTGATTTGGCTGAAGTAAAAACTACATTAGTAAAGAAATATCATGGAAAGAAGCCAACTGTATGATTTATGGTGGAAAAGTTGGTTATTTGGGTTGTATGAACTCTCTTCTGCAGCCAGCTCAAACTTATTAATACGGCAGCTTCATTTTCTTCCAAACTTGTCTGAACAACATATTGTACTCACTACGATGAACTCCTCAATTTAGCCTTCAGAAAGAGAAGGAATATATGTCACTATATTTGAAGTAATTACAACCGGTCGTGTGTGTGTGTGTGTGTGTCAGAGTGATATAAACTTGAGAAGACATACAACCAGGACTATATTTAACTTGAAAATCCATTGACATAAAGAAAGCTTGGTTGGGAAGATATGCTTCAGGAATTTTACATTGATCCAAGATATGAATGTGGAATAATGTACTAATAGCTATATAATACATATAAAAAGAGGTAGACGCACTAGCATAAACTGGACGTGACTTGCCCAAAAATATAGACCACAATTCATGAAACACAGAATATTTCTGTCCATGCAAATAGAATAGTTGTCAGTTTACAGTTTTCTAGTTGATATGGACCCTATAATTCAAGTTTTTCTCTCATCATAATGTCACGGCATACCATATTTATACTACCAAAGCAGGCTGCACTAGAAAATACAATATATCATCACATTATATATCGCTTCATTTCCTTCCTCAAACTTAAGTTTAAACCCTAACAATGACACGAAGATATGTGTATATATATGCAAATGAAGTAAAGAACATGTAGCTTAGATAGTATGAGTTTTTTTTTCGTTAGAGTCAATAGTTCAAGTTTGAGTTCTACATATGCGTAAATACCATAAAAGTAGCTTACCTAAAAATTATTTAACTATCACTATAGGGTCTAAATTCGTTGTATAGCCCTGTGGGAACCATACTAACAATTGATCTTTTTCAACTAATTTATTAAAGTTATACTGAAGGTTCTGTAATAAATATCCAAAATTATACTGATGGATGGAGAATGTTGGTAAAAGTATATAAACAATGCACACAACCTTTGGCATTTGAAGTTTGTAAATGGTTGATGCTGCTTTGACATATAGGTTATACCAACTGCTCCCAAAAAGCAATCCTAATCATTTTATACTAATAATTTAATTTATTTATATTATTAATTATGTAGATTATTTTATTGCATATTTAACTTATAATTCGGACAAATTCACAATAACAATAAATATATAATTCATGAAATATTATGATATGAATCTTAAATTACAAATATGTAAATTTTATGAAGTTATATATACTGAAGTAGTCAATGTCAATGGTTTTGGCCAAGCACAAAGACAACCACATTTGAAACTAAAGGAAGATGGGAGCAGTGCCAATCTACCCTCTTCCTCTGGAGTTTCTTCAAAGAATTCTATTTATATATACCTATCAATATATAAATTAAACAGAAAATAAAGATAAGATAAATAAAAAAACACACTAGAAGCCGGAAACAACTATCATTAAATAAAAGTAGAACGTCTAAAACCTAAAACGTGTAATTTCAACCTATTTTTCGCAGCTCGAAACTTGAGAGATACTTATATGGTCAATTTATCATCTGCAGGAATTCTATCTTAGACCAATTAAGGTACATGTCAACAAAAGGAATTTACTTGGGCAAGCAACTTAAGTAGTCATCATATTGCATAACAAGCTAATGTGATCCGATTCTTTCCCTTCACCATTTATATTAAAAAATTAAGACTGGTCCATACATGAAAATATTTTTTTATGTCGCATATTAGTCTAACATTATTGTCTCAATAAAAAAGTCTAATGTCATGCATGAACCTTCTCACTCAGTGTATACATTTTTAATTATTTTCTGTAAAAAAAAAAAGATTTAAAAAAATACATTGCTACTAGCAAAAATGCCTCCTAATTACATAGCTTTGTCATATAAGACTCCAATTGTATGCTGAGCAATGAAAGAAGTTAAGAGTCCCTACCTCACTGGCTACAAATTCTGGATAGACCTCTACTCCCAATTCTTCTGCTTTCATTCCCCACCCAGTGCACCAACTTAAACTGTTACATAAGGGAAAAATAATAGGCTTTTCAGCAAATGATTGCCACTATTAAATGCAAAATAATATAGTTGCAACATCAAGCAAAACGAGGAGAAGAGAAAAATGTAAATCTGCAGTGGAGTGGAATGAGCTTGGTAAAAGAGCTGGCATATGATAAAAGAGTTCACTAATTCCTTCAGACCAAATATCTGAAATGCAAAAACAGAAAGCAGATTCTGACCACTCAATTTAGTTTTCAACTAATATGGTCATAACTTGATTTAAATCTTTAGATACTTTTAACTGCAACTCATGCCACCTTTTGACATGTTTCAGTTGGAACTGCAAAAGCATCCAGAGGCCTTGCGGCACACGACAAAACTAGTTAAGGTTTTTCCCCTCAATATATCCTTGTCATTCCTAAATCTGTTTATGGAACCAGATAGCCAGATTGATTTTCTACGACTATGAAGCAATAGCTAGCTGTTTCATAAACTCTTTCATTCGGCTTGACCAGCTTGCTCGCCTCATTTTGCTTAAACTCAAGTTTTAGCACTGTAAAGCAATTGCTGGAGTAGCTGTTTATCAACTCTTCGTGCAGCTTCACCATCAGTTGATGATCTCAAAAGATATTCAACTAAAAAACGGTTCATAGGAAATTAGAGGCCAGCTTGTAAACCATCAAATTTGATATTCAACACCAGACTGCTTACAACTGCTCATTCCACAACTACCTTATAACATAGTTTCCCTTGTTATCAAAAGAATATGCAAGTGGATATGATCATTTGTAAGGAACTAAAATTTTTCAGAGTAAACAGGGGCATTAATCTTTGCCTGCAAACAGTAAAGGGTCAAGAACAAATAGAAGATTTCTTTTGAAATCTTCACTCTACCTCAATAGATTAATTATTATATACTTACCAATAAAATTTTCACCCTACCTCAGTAGATACAGATATTATAGATAGTTTCTTTTATTTCCTAAAATCTTTTAGACCTACAATGCATAGAAGAAAAATTAAACGGCAGAGAGACAATCTCCTGCGTCAATTAGAACTTAAAAAAAAAGTGTTTAACCATATAAAGAAAAAAATCTTTGAAATAAAAGATTCTCAAGATCTAATTCTAGATCATCTTGAATAAACAGTATCGGTTCGTGTCATAAATTGAATGATTCATATATTAAAAAAGAGCTTAGAGTTACTGTAAATCACATTATCATAGTTAATAACTTGAAAAGATATAGTCAAACATAAGAAAGAGCTTGGGGAGAAGTTCATCCAACAATCTGATGCAAAAACATCCCCAAATAGGATGTAAGCACCTAACTCATAGGACAATCATCCCAAACCAGCAGCAATGTAAAACAAAATCCTCTTCAATAAGAAATTAAACTAATTAAGCCTAAAAGGAAAAATAGAGAGTAGAAACTAACCTCTTTAAATCAAAGCCTCAGATTTCAAGAACATAAATGAACTTTTCCAAACTCTATGCGATTCATCTGAGCCATTATTTTTTAGATTCGCAAACAGATCTCAACTTCAATTGGATACATCCAAAATAAGGAGAGTAAAACTGTTCTCGGTGAAAAAAATGAAATAACCACGACATCTTTGTTTGGCTCGAAAGAAAATAAATATTTATTTTGTTTACTTATTTTTGTGGTTAAATACAAATAGTTCAAAGCCTACGCTCAAATTTATTTTATTTCAGCCCAATAAAAATATAAAGCCCATTCTGATAACAGAGAAATATAAAGCCCACGAGAAATTGGTAAATATTAAAAAAATAATAAATTATTGAATTAATTTATAAAAATTTGATACTTTTTACAATTTTATTTTTAATATCCTATTACCATTTTTAATAAAAAAAATTAAAATAATTAAATTAAAATTTGTTAATTGAATTATAATAAAAATAAAAAATTGAATCGTAACAAATTTCTAATTTAACTAGAGTAATTTAATAAACGTTATTAAAAGCCTGTTTTTTAATCTGAAACTTGATCCCAAAAAAAAAAAGCCCTGTCAAACTCTATAACATATATATGTACCTACCCCAAACTCTATAATCTGAAACTTGACCAAAAAAAAAAAAAGGAAAAAAATTACGCCTCGTTCCTAGAACTTCAGATGATGTCGAATCCGAGTTCTTGTCTCCTGAAATCTCCAATTCCTGCTCTCGTAAATCTCCCATAGAACCAAATCAGTGGCGCAGGAAACAAGGTTTTCTTTACGTTCTGTCCATCAGACCCGCGGCTCTCCTCCTCCAGGCTCGGCCCCGCCAGCCTCTTCCGGATTCGACGCGGCCGGCTGACCAACCAAAATCTTCTTATTCTCCTATCTTCACCTTTTCTTATAACTTACATAGCACCTGGAAACCAGAAGCCGCCAAGTAAGCTCTGTTGGTCCTGCTTCTCTCTCTCTCTCTCTGTCACTTAGGTTCGACCTCCATCTCACGCCACCGCTTGGCTGCTGCTTCCCCCAAGAGATAAAAAACTTCACGATCTGCTAGCCGAAGGATCGTGCGCCATTATATTTTATTTGGATTGAAGGTATGGTATTCGTTTTGCCTGATTGAGTTATTTTTTTTACAAGATGGTTTGAAAGCTTTTGCTTAAATATGTTGTTGGATTAGTTAGATTCGATTGCCATGGTGGTTAAGCATTTAGTTATGTTTTAAGTATACACCTTTCGACTGGATAACTTTAGTTGAGATACTGGTAGCTTAGGCATGCACCTGAAGTGTTTGATGAAATCCATAGTTGTTTTCCAAGCACATGACGCATCGATGTGTTATCCCTCGTTTCTTGTTCATTGAATACATGTTACTACAGATGTTTGCCGATATCAATGTATTCTTTTCCCACTTTTATTGAAATTCTTCGAGCTAGTGTTTTTATAAAGGAATCAAAATTTTGGACCAAGCAGATTAATATGTTATCATTTGTTATATGATGCACGTTGCATTATAAACTGTTATTATATTTATCTTCGGTAAAGGCTGTTTTTTTTTTTCCCGCTTTGAATAATGTAAGTTATTTTCATTTATGGGGTCATTCTTTTTATCCCTTTAACCACGCTTTTGGAATTGCTCATGATGGCAGGCTTCGGATTGGTACTGCATCTTTTGTACTATTGCAGGAAATAGTTCTGGATTTCCTCTATTTTCTTGGGCTATGTTTCCCTTAATTTATCTTTGGTGAATGTATTTAATCTCCCCTTCCCCATTGGTTGTTTATTTCTTTCAGTTTCAGGTCTTGTGGGTCATATTTAAAAAAAAAAAAAAAAACCGTGCATAAGGCCATTTTTACTTTCCTATTATGGGTAACACATGTGCCCACAAGCACATAGTTAAGTTATACTTCCTTGCAGACCCTTTGTGATTTGCGTAATAGGGTGGATTCTCACCTTTAATTGTTTTGCTATAACCCATTGATGGTATTTTAACCCGTACGGATTGCATTTCTGTCATTTTTTCAAATGCGGAATAAAATGTGTTGGTTTCTATAAACCCCAACCATGGCAAAAGATATGGATATCAATTTCCATTAGTTCATAAGATTTGTTGACTTCCAATTATTGAAATAAAGAGCCAATGGCAGGTTAAGCTGGTTAACCAGGATAAGCATAAACCATGGCACAGTCTTCAGATAGGCCCTTAGAGGATAAAGAAGACATGAAGCTATGGGGAATTCTCCTCTTTGGCTTGATTGGTGCTACTGCCACCACTTTTGCTGTGAGTTATTTTTTGTGTCTTTCACATTCATGTAGTTTTCTTATAACTTATTGATTGTTTTTTAGTTTTTCTAGGTTTTTGAATTGTGCAAAAAGCTTGATCATTGTGCCCACTTTGATACATGAGCTACACTTATTAGTTGTTAGGTCATTGTTCTTCTATGTTTCAGGTTTAGTGGCATGCTTCATATTTTATAATTTGCATATCATGTCTTGTGTTTGAGATTAATAATTTGATTATGACATAGATGTGCTTCTAGTAATGCAGTTAATACTGTAATATAACAGTCTGTCTCTGTTTATTTCAAAGAAAAAGCAGTCTGACTCTCTACTAGGACAGTAAATATAAAATTTTGTAGCGAGTCAGATACCAGTTGAAACTGGTTAATTCCAGCCAACAATGGCATACTTGTCAATATATCATAATTGTTTTTGGTAACATTTTTGCTGGAGTCCTGTTTGATGGTAATAAATTTGGCAGGTTGGTCAGCTGCGGAGGACTTTTGATTTGTTCTATGCGCAGGTAGACATGGATTAGTTTTTGATAACCAAAGAATGGCATTAGTCTTTTGTGTTCTGCTTTATTTTGTTTATTAAACCTCTAAAATATTGGGAAGAGACCTTTTTCCTCCTGATGTTTACACTTCCCCTGATGTTTTACTTTATTAAAGCGAGGTTTTGCTTTCTTCTAAATCATCATGTCAATACTTTTTTCAAAATCTAAAGGACTACTATTATCATTTTGTTTACCTTTTCAAAATCTGAAGGGAAAGCAGTTGATTTTAGTAAAAGAATGCCCAAGTTCAGTGCTTCTAGTTATACAGAGGTTTACATGATCTCATGATTATTGGCAAACAAACATATTGATATAATGAAAATAATCATATAATACTTCTTCCTCTAAAAAAAATCATATAATATTTCCACTAAATTGAAGCCGAATATTTTAGCTCCGTGGCCGGTGGTAACATTTGGGATCCTTTAGTGTATGACGCTTGCTTAGGGCATTCGAGAACTCTGGTTCATTTTGTTATTATATGAACCTACCTAATAAATAGAGATGTTGTGTGGCATACTTATAAAGAGCTAGGTAGATAACTTTCATTAAGTGTGTGTTTGTTGATAGTTATACAGCAAGAGTAATGCATGGGTATGGATGCTACAGTTTTGGCTTTCTTCTTTTAAATATTAGTTGCCTTACTGGTTTTGTTTAGTGATGATTTCTTCTCTGTGTTTAGCAATTTGCATGTTGTAAACTAGAAGCTGATATTATCATACTTTCACTGCTGAAAATGTTTTTTGAGAAAAAAACTAGCAAGCTGACATTTTATGTACTTTCACCACTATAGTTATCTAGATCACAGTCATCATGGAAAACAACCGGCAGTTCCTTCCGTACATCTTTTCAAGAGGAAGCATGGAAAAGATATAATCGTAGATTGCAAGAGGAGTATGAAGAAGAGTTAGAGAGAGTGGTAAGTTAATGCAACAGTTTGATTCTCTTGTTACATATTCATATTATTGCATCTTCTGTACCCCTTTTGCATCGTTATAAAAGCTTTTGATTACTTCATTCAGATCTCAATGTGGAAAGATGTTTCCGATGACTTTTTCCTGGACAGATATGAGCCGTAGTTTTTACACTTAATATAATTTGAAGAAAATGTAAATTACTAGTCTTCCTTTACCATTTCAACCACTGCAATTTGTATTATGCAAATGGGGTCATGGAAACTTTTTATCTGTTAGATTGTATTCAGAAAATAATATCCGTAGAGGCCAATTAAAGATCTGAACTAATGTGACTGGTTAATGCGTAACTACATATTTGTGGTTTTTGCAAATAGCTATAAGATTACTACATTTTGGACTGTTGTCAAGAACTATTTTGGTCCTGCCTTCCGGGTTACAAGACCTCCTCTATCCTGCAAGAATTATGATACATTTGGATTCTTTTTGACATAGCCTTATGCCTCAGCTTCTATGTGATATTTCATTCTTATAGGAGCGAATTAGGCGCATGCAAAGTGTCTTCAACAGAGAGAGGAGTAAATACAAGAGAAGTTATGAGAGCTGGAGAGAGAATGGTCCTGGTGCATATCATCAACATTTCCAGCGAGATGATTGGTACTGGAAGGCTAATACATCCTACAAAGATCACAATTTTAATTACAGTGAACCTCCAAGACAGAGGGCAACCTATCCATTATCTCACCACTACTCAGTTTTGGGTCTTGACAGGTAACATTGTTGGTTGCTGCAGGAATTACTCTTATCATCATCAAAGTAGTCAAAATTGAACTTCGGTGAAGACGATGAAACTACTTTAGTATCATAAATGATCAAGTCACCTCCCTCTCTTTCCAAAGTTGTGTAAGCAGGCAACAAAAAGAGAATTTTTGAATCATGTATAACTGGCTAAATAATATTTCCATCTTTTTTTATCTTTTTCTTTGTTTTCTTTGTTCGATCTTTTTCTACTCTTTCTCCATCTTTTCATCTCTTCTGTTCTGTTCTTGCATACCCCTTATTTTTATTTATTTTGAAAGTTTCTATTATTTGACTATTGTATTTTATTAGCTCTATTTGGACCATTAGCATTAATTTGTCAATGTATGGTCACAGTTCTGTTTAAATATTACAATTCTTGATCCAATAGTTTAAACTGTTCCATGGGATTCTAAGGATAAACTACTTCAGTATCATCTTAATCTTGTTTTCTTTCAATGACAAGAATGATTATTGATGGCATGCCAGCTTTGTTATTCCAGTTATTTCAATATAATTCTTATCTAATTTTACCTAAATTACCTTGAACAGTAATTCTTTTGAATATTCATGATTTTTCATCCTCAAAGTGCATGCTTTGTTTTTTTCTCACGAATGTTACTAATAACTTGATTGCTCGATTTTTATTTACATGCAACAGGTCCAGATCAACGCCATACACCGAAGCTGAAATTAAGGTATATCTTATAATTTATATGAGATCTCCTATTGTTCACGTTATTCTTTTAAAACTTTGATTCAATAGCTGAGTTTAAGTTCCCTTTCAGTCTAGAATGTTGTCTGTCTATTGTGGTATTCCACTGCGTAATATTTAAAGCTTAATCTGCCATGATTACTGTAAGTAGACACTTAAGTTGACCCAATAAGGAAAAGCTCTTTTCTTTTTGAGTCAAACTAAAATGTTTTAACTCATGATTGTGTTTATATTTTGATACTTTATTTTCTTTTTATTCATGGATTTGTTACTTAAAAAAATGAGGTTCAGAGTATCAGTTGAATTCTACAATGTCATTGTGATTGCTGAGCAAAGTTGTGTTGGAACAATTTGGATTAGAAGTGTGAAGGAAAGTACAAGTAGTTTTCTACTTTGTCATATGCCAGAAACTGTAGCATCATTGGCCACGCATCTCTTTTACTTGTCTGTGGGTTGGTTGGAGTGAGCATGGTTTAGAAAACTGTGAAGTGGACTTGCAATCATGTCTTCCAATATTTTTGATTGGGGATTTTGAATGAGGTGTATAACATATATTTTATAGGCATCACTGAAAGATCTTGATTTTCTTTTTTCCTAATGAGACTTGCAATCTTTAGTGACATAATGTGGAAACCCCATTTTATCTTTCAGACGGCATTTAGGGCGAAGGCAAAGGAGTTCCATCCTGACCAGAACCAGGTTAACAGAGGTAATAAATTGTCTTGCATTTGGGAGTCGAACGTACCCCTGAAAAAAATGTATCTCAAAATTTGATTTTATGAAATATGAACAAGAATATAATATTAAATGAAGAATTGAATAAGAACAAAATGTATCAAATCAAAGTAATATTATTGTGTTAGGTTGGTTACTTAATAGTTTTCTTTTTGTTGCAGAGGCTGCTGAGGCAAAATTCAAGGAGGTAATGACCTCATACGAGGCTATAAAGCAAGAAAGAAAGAACATGAACTTATAAACTCTGGGAAATTCGAGTTCAAATTTTGTGCAGATTGAAGAAGAAAGTAATGTACTCCAAAGTATAACCCATAATCCTAAATCTCTTGGTAGCTTCTATACTTACTAGGAAGACATTGAATTCTGAGCAGATCAATTTTCCCATATCCGGATTTTCAAGGGTCCAAGTTGTATTAGTAGGTTATCAGGTGCAGAGCATGTTATCATGTGCTCGCAACGTTTGTACCACCATATGGTTCAGTTACCTCCCTCAAATCATGTATAGAAAATAATGAGGAAAAGGTTACAGAAAATATATAAATATTTATTTATTTATTTTTCTAATTTTTTACTCAGTGGAGCTTTAGTAATAGAGTGGATTCCCTTTTGGTTTTTACTTTCTGTTTTCTTAGTTGAAATTTTTAATATTGATGGAATAAAGAAATAATCTACTAGTTAAAAGGAGAAATAACATAAATGTTCAAGAGGCTTGGGTATATAATCATAGTTGAGTGTACCAATTTTTTAAAAAAATTAATGATTTAATCTTTATATAATAAATATATTTGGGTAAACCAGATGAAACTTTTATATAAATGCTAACTGATAGTTATGAATGTTTAAAATTTGATTAGGAGGTCTAAAATAAAAATAAAAATAAAAAAACAATAAATTAACAATCCATTAGATTTAAGGTACTGAATTAAGCATCTTAAAATAGTCGTAGACTAGTAAGGGTTCCTGAATTTCTGCTGAGATTCGTTAAATTGAGGTCCTACAAATATTATTGAATTTTCCAATTTTGTTAAAAAAAAAAATTAAATTAAATCCTCGATGGAGAATCTTGGTATAGCACGATCATTTATTGTATAATAATCAGGTATGGCATGTGGGTCTCGTGAACTCTTGATTTATGAATTATTTTCTTTTTCTTACCAGTTAAAAGAATTTTAAATTATAGTCTTATATCATTCTGTACCACCAGTCACTTCTAAGAACCAAGAACAAAATTATTTTTAATTAGGGTCACATACATATGTATGTACACTCAATTTTGAATTTAACTATAAGATGTCATTAACCAGAAAATTTTCAAAATTATACTCAAGATGTTTTTATTTATTTTTAATATTTCAATAAATTATCGAGTAGACTCTTCTGTTAGTCAAATTAGTTATAATGTCCATTTCAAACTTGATAATTAATGTAAAATGAGCTCAAAAATTGATATCAATACGTGACTTGTTTCATATCAAATGTTTTTAGTTTGTCTTTTTAAAAAAAAAAAATTATATATTCACAAACCATGTAAGTTTAATTAACAATCAATAAAATAATAACAAAATATGACGATTGAATTTATTTTAATATATTATTATTTTTTAAGAGAAAAATAAAAGGATAGAATAATTTTACGTTATGACCATCGCACTTTCATAGATTTGCGCAAATACCACAATTACTCTATTTGTACTTCGAGCCTGCCTTTGTTATGCCAGGCTAGTTTTGTTTTGTAAAGCTGTAGGAGAATCTTTTAGTTCAACTGGAGGTTCTTTCAACATTTCAAAGAATATATAAATAGTCGTAAAGAAGACAAAAAGACGGAGAATAAGAAAAAGAAGACAACAGAACAGAACAGAGCTTATGAAGACGCTAAAGAAAATAACTGTTCCTATAAACATAAGAGACTGAGGATGATAATGCACAATTTCTTTTTTTTTTTTTTTTTAACCAGACCAGTGGCTTCCCCCTTGCAAAATTTTCCAGGTGAATTGTAGCTTGTCCTCGACGCATCACTCATTTTACACTTTGTCCTTTCGGGCTCTTCATTTTGCCGGGGGAGCTCTGTAATATGCGGGTACAGTTGCGGGAAAAAACATTTGCCTCACTCCTTCTGCTCTTATAATAGGAAAGATAATGCCTGATGCTCCCTGTAATTGACAAGATATATTCCCCTATTGGTTCATATGATGTATACTTAATTAAGTATATTTAAAAAATTCCCTTTTTTAACTTAAATATAATTATAAAACAAGTATTTTAAAGGTTAGTATTCCTTTAATCCTAAACTAAAAACACTGGCATCGTTACTTCGATGCTAAAGCAATGTAACAATTACCTAACATTTTATGAGATTCTCAATTTTTTTAAAGTTACTTATTATCTTTAAGTTAATTATATTCCCGCATACCCTCTATGAGAGAAGGAAGGAGATAGGAGAGTGGGAGATTTTGTACCGAGATTAATCTGGCACCTATCCAAATGCGCTAGGAGAAGGGAATGGCAGTAATAGACGACCAACTCCGTATATAGCAACAGCAAAGAAGTGGAGGACCAAGCTCAACGGCCGAGGGTTCAAACCCGAGAGTAAAGAGATTGGTCCAGTTGAGAAGACACCTCCAAGACTCAAATAATCAAAACAGGCCTGGCACATCTCTTTTCTTGCTTGATCAGGTGATGCACAAAACACTTTGTACAAGGCACCAGCCAAGGTATTGATGGTGGACGCCACTGGCTGCAAGTTAAAACACAAGAAGAAGCTGAGCCCATGGATGCGTGTCAAATTTATGCTTCGAACTGCAACTAGCTTTATCATGTCACTTACCTTACGCAAAGTGTAAAAGGATTCAAGATACTTGCACAAAGTAGGTGCATCATTAAGGTCAGGAAGAGGCCGGAGAAGATTCCTTAGGACAACAATATCTGATAATGCAACAGTCATTCCTCCACCAGTTAGAGGGTGGCGCATGTTAAATGCATCTCCCATTAGCAGGGCTCCAGGAGTAGGATAAGGAGCAGCGGGCATGCTTCTGTTTGGCATTGTTCTAATATTTCCTTTATCAATTGCCGCCACAAAGGAACTGTATATCTCGGGTGGGATCTGGAGTGGAAAAATGTAACCATCAAACATAAAAAAAACACATGTAGCATGTGAATGACAGTTGATTAATTAAGTCTGAGAAGTTCTATAGAAGTGGTACCTGAGGAGCCACCACACTCTTTAAATAGTTTGCCATTTCACCATTGGCAATTGAAGGGACCTTCTGGCCAGGAACATCAACCAGGCAGCGAACCTCAGTGCTACTTATAGGATAAAATAAAATGGGGGAAGGATCTGCTAATATAACATGCCCATGATTTGCAAATGGAAGCTCGCAGTTCTCCAGAACCAAACCAACAAAACAAGAAGGTACATCCACCTGTTTGATAAAATATACTTATCCAACTTGATAAATAAGTCAAACTACTTCAAAAAATTTATACCAAAAGGGAATAAATCTTGAGGATACATCATAACTTCTTATTAGCCAACAAGATCTAGGACTGCTTTACCTTAGGGTTGCAAAGGGAACGACGCAAGTTTGAAAAACAGCCATCACATACTATTGTAAGAGGTGCATATGCTGTCAGTTCTTGGCCAGTTCTAGTCTTGTATTGCACACCTTTAATTGTTCCCTTCTCTTCTAGAAGAGAGGTAACTGCTCCTTGCTCCAGTTGTAAACTATTGAGAGCAAACAAATTAAGCTAATAAGCACCAATTAGGAAGAGGAAACTACTTGCAAAGAAAACAATATTATTCTCATGAATCATTTCTAACCTAGATCAGATGCATTCTGCACAAAACACACCATCACAATGAAAGTCATTCCTAAAATTCAGATGCAGATCAAATCATTTGAACCAAATTACTAGTTCTGTTTCTCTTATAAGAGAATATTGAAACCTATGATAAATATGTGTCCGTGAAATGCTCTACTTTGGTTAAGAATTATTTCTTTAATCCAGAACCCTTTGATGAAGAATCCATCAACAGTAAAGAAGATCTGATATTACTTTGAGAGACAAGAGAATGATTTTGAGATCAAACCAAGCATTTAAAAAAAGTAATTTTGTGCCAACCAACAGATGTTAATTCAGCAATTATCCAAGTTCCCTATTATGTTAGAGACTTAAGTTTCTACTCTTGCCTAGTGGAAAATGAAAACATATATTACACTATTAAAAAAAGTACATTTTGTGCCAGATTGAGATAGTGTTCTTTAAAATATAACAAGCTATAATTAGATACAAGAAGCAAATTAAACTAACAGATAGATGACGGACATCCAGAAAGGGGAAAGAGATATTACTTGGGAAGGGAAGCAGCTTTCTCCCGCATCCTCTGAATGAAACGCCCATTGTGAAAACTCCTTCCAGATACATCAGAGTGAAACTTTTCCAACGGATAAGACAGACGAGTATTCTTCCCATCCTTGAAAAGAGCATAACCATACACCCGCTGTGCATCAATTTCTTCTACACAGTCTGCAGTCGTAAAACATGGATTCTTTATTTAATAGTTATATCCCGAAAATGAAGTCCTTAGCAAAGATATGATGAAATGCCAGGTAGATTGCCACCAACAAAACTTTTGCCATTCAAGACTTCTGCAAATAGTTAAGAAGATTAAAAACCAACCAACCTTCAAGGCCCAATTCAATTAACTTAAGGTAACCCCCAGGTTGTAGCAATTCTCCAACAATGCGATCAGGCTCTGTCAAGTCTCTCTCAATCACATGCACTCGCCGTCCATCCTGCACTGCAAAACATACAATCAGTATCCACTTGAAATAGTTGTCATAATGCATGTAGCTGGATAAATGGTAGCTAAACCAGACATAATTACGTCATAGAAGTGCCTAATAATTCATTGCAGCACAAATAGTTGATCATCAAGGGCAAGTATTTTATTGAACAAACAAAAGCCTTACAAGAAACAGGTTAACTTGTGCAGTAAGACAAGAATTCTTCGAACAGAAAAGCTACCTACCAAATTCCTTTTTCTTTTTTTTTGAATGGAGCTACCGATCTTCAAGTCTTTAACAGTACAAAGGGTAAGTATCTCAACGTTAGACTCATTGGGAGAACACAGAAGTCACTGGTTTCTGATGAGTAACGTAATGATCACATGTCATGTTTTCTACCCAATCCACACTTCTAGCTCCAGGTGCTAATATGTAGTGGAAAGTGACAAAGTAAAAAATTACAGTTTCTTCTAAGACGAGTTTTTTATGAATTCTAAGATGAAAAGTTTGAATTTACTAAGAGGACAGCAGAATGCACCTAGCTCAGTAATACATTTACTAACCCTTCTAATAATTGTTATTGACACAAACTCTAGAACTATGGCGAAAAACAAAAGCAAAAGATCATTTCTGCAGGTTTTAAGAAAATAAAATGGAACAATAGATACACAGAAAACTAAATAACTTGAGGAAAAATACAGAGTTTATTATTTTTCAAAAAAATAAGTAATCTTAAAGAAGGAATAGGAGAAGATGTCCTTAAGCTGGTAGGGACAGATATAATTTCCAGATCATTCCAAGCAAACACTTGCTATATTGCCAGCTACCAAAGAAAAAGGTGGACCACCAAAGATTCCTTACAGACAATTCCACAAACGTTTGTTACCAGCAGAGCCCTGTTTTCCCTGTGTGTTTATGAAGGAGACACCCACATCCTCCAAGGAGGAAATTGAAATAGCAGATGCAGCAATCTCACAGCTTAACAAATAAACATCACATGACTTTTAAGCCTACTTAGAAAACCAGAGTTGTTATCAGAACCATAGAAAACCAAACACCCGTTTTAAGATCCAAGCAACATATTTACGCTGATACAACTATATATTCATAAACATAAGCTTTAGATATTAAAAGAAAAAAACCTCAACATCATCAATAAAACTGAAATTGGTTTTCACAAAAGAACATTAAAAAGAAAAAAACAGCCAATAATAAGATCAACAGAGAAAACAATACAATCACTTGAGATTGCACTACGTGGCACAGGAACCCCAGGGAGAGCCTTTTGAATATATATATTTTCTGTTTCCGTTAACTTTTTCTTATTTAATTAATCGTAGAAAATCGTCATTAGAAAAAGAAAAAGAAAAAGAAAAAACAAAGTATCATGAAATTACTTCAACCTTTTAAGGCCTGCGTTTCTTCATAATTAACCAAAACGAATCTAACTATTCAATGTTCAACGATTCGCAATTACTTTCCGAGAGAAATGCAGGAATCAGATAGAGCAAAACTGACCTTGCCGAGAGTATAAGCGAGAGCAGAGCCGGCGACACCAGCACCAACGATGATAACATCGGCGTCTCCGCTATCAGATCCAAGTTCTCTGTTAACGGCGGGAACACTCTTCACAGACTCATACCTCTCCTCCACCACGGCATTCCGTTCCTTTCTCGTCCTATCCGCAACGAAGCCGTACAACACAGCAAGCCCGAGGACAGATGCTAAGATCCATCCCAACAAGTACTGATCCATCATAGCGAAGCAAAATGCGAGTCTGGAGAAAGGAATAGAGGGCAAAACGACGGCGTGTGAGCCTCTCTTCCTCCTGTCTCCGCCTAGTTTGAATCTCTGGCTTGTGTATTTTCCTGTTTTGCTAGCTGTTGTTATATGAAGTTTTTCC